ATGTATTCGGCTAATGATCTTACCTTGTTAGTAATTCATTTTGCTTGAATAGTATTTTTTAACTTTTTTTTTCATCTTCAATCAAAATATCTTGTGCAGTAAGTTCAAGTAATTGATCATCATCTTTGTACGGAAATATTTCATAGTATTCTTTGTGAATTCATCTTCTGGATCGCTTTGTGCAGATAGATCGGAAAGTGCTAGTATTAGAAGAGAATATCGATTTTGTCGAATAAAATTTTCCGCAATAGAATGTTTGATTTGTACGTCCAAGTTTCTTCCATCATTGGTTCTAGTAGCAATATTATTTTTTAAATTGATGATATATTGAACAATTTCAATATAGTCCTGTTTACCAATAAACGCTTCTTCAATAATTTGATTGTCAATGTCATAAAATGTTTCCCATTGATCATCATCATTAATCGATGTTTGTTTGCAAAATAGGGGAGGGAAGGTACCGTTGCCCGCGAGTTACGTTACCAGGTACCTAGTAACTCCAAAATTACTAATGTCGAATTTTTTAAAACTCACAAGTATTTTCGAAGAAAACAGTGAGTGTAAGTTTTAAGGTTAAGTTTTGGCGGCTCTCTCCTCCCCCTCCCATTACAGATAGGCCCTCATTACAGACCATAGCAACGGAGAAAGAGAATATTACAGACATACCCCTCCTCTTCCCCCCCCCCCCCCCCATTACAGACCTTAGCAATTAAGAATAACAGGCGTCAGACTTTCTAGTTTTTTTGAAAAATTGATCAAGTTATAATTTTGAAAGATAACCAACATTATTATTTGTGAGCTGATTAATATATATAATAGTGCGTAAGATCTTCTGTAGATATCATGGATATATAAAACAGATTTATTTGCCAATTAATTCAATGATTATAAGAGTGTGGGTTTGGGTGAGTTGGTGTTAGTGTGGGTTGGTGTGAGTGTGGGTGTGGATGGGTGGATGTCAGTGTAGGTGGGTGTGGGTGTGGTTGTGCGCGTGGACGTGGGTAGCGGTGTTCTTATAACCATACCCACACCTACACCCACACCAAATGTCGATTTATGCTTGCAAATGGGAAGATACGATAACTGCTATTATAATTTTAAATCATGAACATGCTGATAAAATATTTTAAATATATATAATTGATTGGTTATCAAATCAGCAAAGGGATAAAGCTGAATTTTTGGGAAGGCAAATAATAACCCATCGAGTATTTTTATTCACATTCGTTTTATTCAAAAGAAGGTTCCAGTTTATTCTAAGAAGAAGAACAACCTTATTCTTTGTTATATAATTTGCATCTAACTATCGTCATAACTACTACAATGAAGTTCGTTTCATCCACACTGAATCCAGATGTAACAAGTTTTATTAAAAGGAGAAGACTGAGTACGAGTCTAGACAATTTTAGTTCGATGGACTCTACTGAAAACTCATTGTTACTGTTACTTTTGAATGTTATTAAATTGGTTATTTAGTTTCGCGAACATTAATAATGAGAAAAAAAATCTCAAAAACGAAATATCATTCGGGCTTAGACCAGTCTTCGAAAAGATGGAGCGTTTCGAGCTCTATTGTACACCTTGAATATACAGGACGACGAAGATCTACATCATGATCGCCTTGTTTCATTGTGTCATTCTCTCGTGATATTTGTATTATTATCATTTCATCAGCTTATACTTCAGTTTTTATCTTGCAGTTTCATCATCTTTTCTCTGTCTTTTCATTACACGTTTTATCAGCCGCATATAGAATGTATATATAGCGGATGATTTTGAAATAAGCGGTATAGTTTGACAGTCTTCTTATTCAGATCATTCGAATAAATACAACAACATGAGCATGTCATCATTCCACGTTCTCATCATTGGCGCTGATCTCGGCGGTTTGGCTCTAGCACTCGGTCTCACCAAACAGGGTGTCCGTTGCACTGTCTTTGAACGCGACGCAACGCCACGCGATCGCTTGCAAGGTTATCGTATCATCCTTCGAAACGAACCTAATTCAGGTGGCCAGGCCATGGATGCTCTTCGTGATCTGCTGCCGAATCATCTTCAAAACAAGCTTTTTTCTATGGCTGGCGATGGCGGAAATATCACAACGAACACGGACGAAAATTTCTGCCCGAAAAACTCTTTCAATCTTCCTGAAAACGCAATCAGCATTGGACGGATAGCGCTAAAAGATGTCATGCTCGATGGCCTAGAGAAAGATGTTGTGCAGTTTGGGGAAAAGTTTGTGTCGTATGAACGGCAAGGAAACAAGATTATCGCCAAATTCCAGGATGAACGGGAGATTGAAGGCGATTTTCTGGTTGCCGCTGATGTAAGTATTAAATGCAACTGAATTTTGCGCTTCATGTTGAAAATCACTTACTAATAAATTTCTGCGTACTATTTAGGGCGGTAACTCCGCTGTCCGTCGTCAGTTCTTTCCGAATCATGACCCACGCATCATTACATGTGTCTCAGGAGTGATAGCAAAGGTCCCCGTTACACCTGAGTCCGAAGTCGAACGTATCATTCAACGTACTCCACTTCGTAATGGTATGGTCACAGTTGCTAAACCAGGACAAACATTCTTTGCCGCGCGACACATTCTTCGTTCAGATCAGGAGCGTCTCGATGAAGATTTTCTTTGGAGTAATTATCGGTCCTACATTTACTGGGTTCTTAATACATCTCTTGCCGATGTTCGATCAATCGCTCAAGAGCAGTCTCCATACAAACTAACCGGTGATCAACTGTTTGATCATGCATGCGATCTTGTGCATGGATTCCATCCAGATGTTCATTCTCTTATCCGTCAATCGGATCCAGCTTCGGCAGTATGACTTGACTTCAATTCCGGCGAGGTGATAGAATGGAAGACGGATGGACAGATCACTTTTGTAGGAGATAGTATTCATGGTATGACGCCTTACTTCGGTGCAGGGGCTTTATTAGCTATCGTCGATGGATGGCAATTGTCAAAGGCCTTGGCAAATGTTGTTAATGACAAAATGAACTTGATGGAAGCAGTTGGACAGTATGAAACCGAAATGCGAAAACGTTCGTTTCCTGTTATGCAGGGATCTTTACAGAGAATGTTGAGCCATACAGATCCTAAAGCAGCGAAAAAATGACGATATAATTCTCTATACTTTGCTTTTGTTCTTTTTTTGAATACAAAAGATTGTATACCATTCGTTAAGCATTGTTTAAAATGTCTGATCTGATTGTGCTAAAAACTTCTCCGTAGACACTATCGGAGAAACAGAAGGATGACACCATCTTGAGAGTGTGGGATAAATCAATCAATAAACAGATCAACCTGTATTCACTTCGAATACAAATCGATCTGCTAATCCCAACTCTTGGTTTTCAGCAAAATAATCTTGTGATCGAGATTCGAAGTATTAAAGTGAAAAATAATTAATTGTGCTTGAGAAAATAAGAAACTAAATAATGCAGTTGTTCAAAATCGCCAACGTGTTTCATATCTTTACGAAGATAGAACCATTCAGGGCTAGAGATCTTAATATCTAGAATAGAAAAAGAAAATGCGAAGAATTCATTTCATAAGATATTGAATAGAAAGAAAAAAAATGGAAGTGTTTTGGAATGATCGAAAATATAATTTGCGTGGAAAAGTGATGAGCTTGAATTTCGCGCAGATTCTGAAATAAAGAGATAGATATGAATAGTTTGCAAAAAGTATTCATTTGTCATAGTCACCTTAATGATGATATTTCTTAAATTGAGAAATTTGATCTTAATTCAAATTCAATTGTACAATCATCGATAATTTTGTTATTGCTAAACATTATAGATTAAAATCTGATTTTCCTCTTTACAAAAATCTATCCCGAATTCGATTTGACTTTGGCGTGAAATTGAGAGGTCAGAAAAAAGACAGAAAAGACAAGTCTGAACAGATGCAACAGTTGCCCACAATCACTAATTACAATAGATTTCGGACAAATTCTCAAAAGAAACTTTAATTGATGATTTGAGTCTCCTAATGCAAGAAAGCGAAATTGACATACCATTTAACAAATAGAAAGTCAATTTTGTTTCTAAGCCTTGAAGTATGCCAGATCTAATTCTACGAAAAGTGGTTTTTTCATTAAAAAAAGGCTTTTTGTTCTATCAAACTGAGACAATACTCTGAAGGAATGAAACAATTCTAAAACTAAAGGAGACGTCACCATGACTATCGTTACTCGATCCTAAGTCGCAGCCAGAGTATATATACATTGCTTTTGACATTAGGACGGACAATGATCAGAACGGCGGCCGCTTTCATTCATTATTAGACTTTTTTCAACTTTTTTACAGTTTTGTGTCAAATTAATTGCACTTAAATCTTTTCTCAGTGAAAAGAATATTTTTCACAGAACCAAGTTGGACAAATTTGGAAGATTAGAAACAATATCGACTTTCTATTTATCAAAAGATTACGTAGTGCTCTGACTAAAATAATTGAAAAAATACATCAAAGTTTCGGTCATATAATGCGTAACATCATTATAATCAAGTTCATTCAATAGAAGCAATGGTTACTGCATCAATTCATTTTTTTGTATTCGTAATTTTCAGGTAATTAGAAAATGTCTACTGTTTTTCTCACCTACTTCCCAGAGAAATTTTGTTGTAGCCTTTCAGGTACGAGTAGTGCTTCTCTTTAAGCTTTTGTCGACGTAGTATTCTTCTTGAACAGTTCAAGTGAATACCCAAACATGCATTGAAAAGTCTCAATACAAGAAATGTTCATCAAATGATGCCTGTGGTTGCCTTCGTACGATCGATAATGTCGATGATGGTTTTTGCGGTCGTCTATCAGTGAAATGTTCGGAACTTTTTTCGTGTGCATCTGTGGACAACTCTTGTTATGATCCTGGTTCTTACTGTGTTCATCATCCGCAATGTGGTGATCGGCCAATTTGTTACCTATTTTCAATGGCTACTTCAGAAATTTGTTCACTTCTAACAAGTAAATTCGAAGTTGGGGTGTGGGTATTATTATCTTCCTCACAGTTAGACCCACAGACACATCCACATCTACACCCGTCTTGTACTTTATATTTCAATGTGAAACTTACAATATTTCGAAAATGAACAAAAAAATAACCTTTGTGTACTTTTAGAAGTGTGAAAGAAAGCAGCACATTCTCATGAACAAATAATCAGAAAATAAAATGTGAATGCGTTATTATGATATTTGTTATATAGCTCTCGAGCAACATTATACTCTTATAAAACACGAATCATATATTCAAAATAGTTTCGACAATCTATGACTGATGAAAGCATTTGAAGATTAATATATGATAGAAAGAAATCATCATCAATGTGCATCGATAGTCTTGAAAGAAAAGATTTTTTGACTTTCTCAACTCTCCTTCGACTTTTGGAAAATATTGTCTTGTGCATGCTCTCAATTATGTAAAACAAAAGAATAAATGATAAAAAAGAAGACAAAGTTACTCATCAGATTATGATTACGAATCACGTCTAGAGATCCTCATTCAGGATTTCTGTTGGTATGTATCCATTATTGAAAAAGAGAAGAGATCATTACATAAAAGTATTCAATCGGATCAGGTTTTTCATTGATGTTTTCATTGTCTGAGAACGCCTTCCCAATTGAGAATCCAATTGCATCTTGTCGCTGTATCGAGAACTTGTTGTGCCGTCAAATCATGCAACCGCATTTTGACGTTAAATCCGTTGGATGTCGGATCGTAAATTGCCGATGAACCTGTTGCAGCCAGATTTCCACAAGTACCACTCAAACTTGTGAAGTAGAGAGGCGTACGAGTAAATTGACACTCAGATGTATCAACTCGAACTATAATCGTGTTTGAATCGGAAGGATACATGGCATCACGCGTTGCTGTACCAGCACATACATTTGATTGCGGGGTATCATTCCATACCGGATGCTTGCCTTTTGTCGACACTGTGTAGCAGAGTGCCATTAGAAAGAAAAAACCGATACCACGAATCATTTTTATTGCTCTATGTTTACAACGAATTGCGATTATATATATATAGACGAACACAGTTTGCTGACTTAATACTTATTGATAATAGTGTGCTTTGCTTATCAGAGCTCATTTCAATCAACTATCTTGAAAAACAAGTGCGAAGTAGTATTGTGTTTCATCTTTAAGCTTTCAATAATTGCATTCAACACGATGCAGAATTTGCTGTGTCACTCTTGCACTGGCCCATATTGCAAGGTATATTTCACATGATGACACTGCATAATCATGGAGCACTCAACGTAATTCTCATCCGAATCCATGTAACGAATGCCGACATTAGTTTCTCTGGCAGATTTCGTTCTGCTTTCGATGTATCAAGCCAAAAAGTCGCCGAAATTTTCCGGACCGGAAGGGTGTGGGTGTCGTTAAGGAAATGACCAACACCTCACATCTACCCATACGCGCACCCACACCCCGTAAGCAAAAAAATATAATATTGATAGAAACAAGTAGTAATCTACACGATAGGATTTTGACATGATTACAATAAGGAGGACTAAAATATAAATACAAATATACCATTTTAACTATCGAACACATTCTAACAAAGAAATGAATAAACGAACGATAGAATTGTCATATGGGACTAATATATTATTGATAGTCATAACGAATAGATAGAATATTGCAGATACTGAAAAATTCATTCTTCCAGTATCAGTCAATCAGCCGTCGACATTCTGGTTCATTCAAAAGACGAAAGAAACGTGTAATAATCATGCGATCGATAACTATTGTCTACATCAAAATATATTGCATCTCAAGTTTTGAAACGTCTCTACAATACTATTATTGATGGCTATTTTAAAAAACTAATATTCTTTATTGAGCACAATCAAAGTAAAGAAAACAATATGTAACTGAAGGAGGAAAGTTGGTGCTACTGCTTTTTTCTTATCTTCACAATGTATTGTTTTTCGTGTAATCATATCTAAATGTCAGGTCGTAACGAAGCCATATTTTTTTTAATTTTAAACACTGATTACTTTTCCCATATATAGATATATTGATCTGTCAGGAGACCAAACTCATCATATTGCAATTTCTCTTCAAGTGTATCGTATCGAGGATCAATAAAGAGTCAATATTGGTTTCCTTGCCTATCTACCGATCTGGTCTATTCGTTTCATAGTGGTATCTATCAATATTTGTTTTTTACATTGATATTATTAAGCGCGAGTAGCAGCGGATTCGAATCGAATATTGAATGTCGGTTCCTCAAGAATGGTGAAAGTGCACCCATTTTACGGCTTTATCGACGTTTTCAATACTGATTACTAGACTTTCAACGTAGAATACATCAATGCAGAATTGATCGGTGAATTTCTTTGCAAAGTTACATAGAAGGCAAACGAGAGTGATTCAAAACAAATCTCTTCATGGAGATTCCTCGCAGAGTCAATCACTGTGCATCCAAGAATTAGTCAAGGCAAGCATGCTATAGTGTATAACAGTCGCCGTTGGCCGTTTAGTTTCCGACTTAATGAGTCCTTACCAGCTTTCTTCGACAAAAATGATCCGAATGTTCCAATTATTCATTACTTCCCTTACATCAGCTTGTTTCAACGCGAATGGTACAAATCAATCATAGAAAGACAATGTCCTATTGTTATTGAACATATGGGATTGCCTGCAAATGGAGAAAAAGTCGAAAAGATGTTCAGCTGCGTATAACTCTCCAGTAACATGTCGTCATTGCTGGAAATAATTTTTCTTTTGACGTCGAATTATGTAATAAGAAAAAGAAGCATGTACATCGAATATCGGTGGCTCTCATTCAAATCCTTGAATTAGGTTCTGACGAAAAAAAAACGAGTTCAATCTTGTTAATTGGAATCTGAAAGAAAACCCAGAAGTTTAAAGGTAGACATTTCAACGGAAGCTTCCAACTACAAGTGCCTCACACAGCTTAAGCTCCATTTTCATTTCGTCTTCCTTCAAATTCTAGTAAGCAGTGGCACGTCATGCGCTACAACCTACAATTTGAAGTACATCTTCGTGGTCTTTTCACCAATATTCGCCTACATTCTTCAGTGATGAGTGTGGGTGAAGACAAGAGGCACACACAAGCATATCCACACCCATATGCCGTGTCGCACAAGTCTAGTGAGTACTCAACGAAATTCAAAGAAGTATGTAAGATTCTTTGAAAAATGTATAGAATTTTACTTATAAGGTTGGTGTCATAATAGCGATGCACCCGATGGTATCGAGATCGCAAGCAAACAATTCATGTAGGTAAATGACACAATATACTCCATATTATATCTATGTATGATGACGAGATGAGATGTTTTAAGGTATTTTTGTGTATCCACGTCAATACCTTATTGATTATCTATGTTCCCTATATTTATTTCTCAAATATTCAACATATAAATATTGTTTGAATGACAGCTAGTAGAGTTTTGGAACTGTTCATATATTGTCATAGATATAATAAAAAATTTCAAAAATTTAAAGACTCTTTCAGTATATATTCATAATATGACTTGAGGTTATATAGATCTTTGCCCCTTATTTACTTGAAAAAAATTGTCATTTTTATATTGAAAAAAAAATTTGGATGAATGTACAAAAAAAGAATTGCAATTAATTTCAACTGATTTTTTTATAATAAAACGGAAACATTTAAAATGATTAAAAATCTCGATTGTTTCTTTTATTATTTTTAAAATAAAATCTATTGATTGTCAAGATGAATAATTTCCATTATAAATAAAACAATTTTCAAATATATTAATTTGCCATTGATTACTATAATCATTATTTTTATGTTTATGACCTAAATTATGAAGCATTTCATGTACAATAGTTCCAGCCCAATATACTGAATTTCCAATATTTTTGTTCGATGCATCGAGATTATATCGATTTAATTTAACTTGAAAATTTCCTTCGATTGAAAATGTTGATCCATGAGAAATACATGAAATACATCCGACAGTTCCTTCAGCTTGTGTTTCATTTTTTTCATACATTGGATATATATGAATAGTGGGAAATTGACCATATTCACTTTTCATTTTGAGACACATCAGTTGAAAACGTAATAAATCATACATACCATGGTAGTTTTTATCATTTGCTAGTTGAGAACGAGACCATACTCTTGCTCCGAGTAATTCACCTGATGTACCACAAATATTATACATGTTTTGTAAGATTTCTGGTTTGAATAATCGATTAGTAATGATTTCTAATGCATTTTTAATGAGAATCTCTTCATTCAATGTAAAACCTTGATGAATTTTGTAGTCGATGTAAAATAATGGTCTATTATTACACGATATCAATGACTGTGAATTTGTTTTTTCTAAAGTAGTATGCGTTATTCGAGATTGTCCTGATAATTGTTGATTATCATCGAATAATGAAGGAGAAAATGATTGATTACTGTTAGAATTTACCTTAGTTAAAATATGATTGAAAGAAACGACCAAAGCTGTTAACACAGACATTTCTCGTATTGTAATTGGAATTTTTCTTTCCTGTGAACTATTATATAAATACAGGACTCATACGTGTACGTTATGACGTCATATCGATGTTTTTATTTAACATCGATTTGAGTGTCGTCATCAAATGAGTAATATAATGTGTTTTTCAATTTTTTGAATTGTTATTGATGACGTTGTTTAATTACGAAATTTCATATGCCACTATACATAGATTCTTAAACCTCATCATTAGAATGATTAATAAAAGAGACTGAGAGGAGGCAGTAATTTATCTCTTTTGTATCATTCTTTTTCAATGTGCTCTGATTGCTGTCATCGAACTATGTATAAATGATAAACCTTACAAATACAAATATCGATCATTTTTACCTACATTTATTCTCAAGAACACTCAAGATATGCAAGAGAAGCTTGACCGAAAATCGAATTAACTTCATATATTGGAGGAATATGGATAATGGCAAATCCATCAGCTGTTTCTTCCTTGGGTATTACTCAAAAAGTTACAAACTATATTTATGTAAAAAAATTGTTGCTAGAACGGATGTAGAAAAAGTCAGATAAATCATCAATTTGTAGACAGTCACAATCGATATAGAATTCTTCATTTTATTGTTTGTTTCATTAAGAGAAAAATCAAGAAATGTACCCTCTAATAGCTTAATTAAGCCTCTGCTCTCAACAGATTTTTTTTTCCAAAAAGTTCGAATTGCAACAATTCCACAACTAATCTTTGGGCCTAACGAATGCTGAGAGACAAAAAGCAATTTCGTACTACAGATTCACTAATATGGTCTTATGTCAAATTTAATGATTGATGATTAACAAGGCATCGGTAATGTTATTTCATGAAAAGAAATGTCAAATTACGTGGTTGTTGGTCGTCTTTACAGAAAAAATACCAATTTCAAGAGGGTGTGAGTGTGAGGGTATGGGTGTTGTTGATGAGAGGACTAATACCCACACCCTCATATTCATGCCTTCTATGCGCCAGTCTCTTATCGAAGAAATAGTGAGATTCGATTCACTTATGACTGCTTTGTTTGATTAGAAAGAAATCTGTCTGTTAAAAATATTAATTATATCAAAATCGTCATTCTCTATCTAAACATCAGGGAATTCTTATGCTCATATGCCGTAGCGTTTCAGCAGGACTATCTAAGTTAGAAAATTGTCGTTAATACATGCACGTATAGGGATCAAAATTTCTATCATGAGGAAGCTGACAGACAGTTCGAATACAACATTCTTTCTCTGTCCACAAAATATGTAATTTGACGCTGAAAACGAAACAAATCGCACTGTTCTAGTGAAAAATAAAGAAACAGCGAGACTCGTATTTACCTTTGATTAATTGTCGACTGTTGCTGGTACTTTTCTCGCAACATAAGTTTCATCTTCAGAATATTAATGATGTCATCAAACGGGGAAATGTGATTAGAAAGCGAACATTTGCCACTGTCTTCTCAGTATGTATTTCTTTTTCATGAGGAACATAAAAATAAAAAAAGTACATTTGAGAATGACGAAAGCTTCTTTTTAAATTAAGCAGATCAACATCGATCGATTCCAATAGCAGTGATAAAGAAGAGAATATGATACTAATCGTGCATTTTCATTAATTCTCAAATTGCTCATTCATCGGTTTTTGTTGAGCATTGATGTGAATAAGTTTTGATGGGATCTTCATTAACGGCTATTTTTGGATCATGGATTCAAGGTAAAATTCTTACTGCATTCTCTTCATCCAACTTAGACCATACAAACTCACACGATGTCCAAAGTGAGACCGACTATAATTAAATCATGAATAAACTAACTATCGAAGAATAATAAAGGCAAATTTGTATCAGAACTTTCGTCTAATACTTTCGTGACCGATGTGTTCTCTTCACATACAAATCTCTACTAGAACAAAAATCAATCTATTTACTGTGCGAATGAAATATGTTATTGCTAAACATATTGAATTTTTGTACCCTTCATGTCACCAAACATTCCACAATATTGTATAGAAATTGACCAACATTGAAATATCATGTAATTTCAAACAACAAAAAAAGACGACATCTTTCATATTCTTTTGGTATTGTTTTTTTTT